TTTACCTTTCAATTTAAACTTTCAACTTTCTTAATTAAAGACAACTGGAAATTACATAGTACTAAAAGGGCGGTTCAAGGGTGCTAATCCTTTCTTGACCGTAACCGACTCCCGGATCCGACATATCACTGGTAAGACGCAGATCATGTAAGAAATAAGGTATCCGATCAACCCACTTTTCGTAAAGTAAATGATCGGTGGCGACTCCCAATCCATTTTTCAAGTCGAAGCCCAATTCCGGGGTACAACCGAAAGACAGTTGCGACACCCTCCAACTTAGAAAGTCAACTCTCTATTATTATTATTATTATTATTATTATTATTATTTTGGATTTTATAAATATTAGTGTTATTCCTTTCACAAAATAGAAGAATTGTATTGAAAGAATTCTATCATATATTTTCTTTTTCTTAACATCAATTTTCTTTTGTTTTATGTCACGTATTAAATTTTGAGTTATACACATTATAATATATATAACATGAATAAACGTATTAATACAATAAAAAATGGATGAAGGAGACGATAAGAGACAATCGTCCTCTAAAACTTTAAATCTAATATAATTTAGATATTTTTGTATTTTCTATTAATATTCTATATTTGTTTTCTTAAAATTTTATAAAGTCATTCCCTAACATAAAATTCTATGTATTGTCTTTAGAGGTAGGAGTGAGCATTTGATCGAGTAGAGTAATTTTTTTTGAGTTATTCGAGTTGACAATTTCTATTTTATAACTCAAACTTAATTAGAAAATTTTTGAGTAGAGTCAAGTTAATACATTCGAGTCGAGTTTTCGAGTTTCTGTTTAAATTGAATTGTAAGTATTATAATATTATGATAGTATTTGATTCTATTTAAATGATTTTTTATAATCATACATACATATATTTCTTCATATTTTTTCATACATGGATGTCCCTTGTTTCATATATATATATTTTTTTCATACTTATATTAATATATATATATTTGTTTTCTTAAAATTTTATAAAGTCATTCCCTAACATAAAATTCTACGTATTGTCTTTAGAGGTAGGAGTGAGCATTTGATCGAGTAGAGTAATTTTTTTTGAGTTATTCGAGTTGACAATTTCTATTTTATAACTCAAACTTAATTAGAAAATTTTTGAGTTGAGTCAAGTTAATACATTCGAGTCGAGTTTTCGAGTTTCTGTTTAAATTGAATTGTAAGTATTTACAATATTATGATAGTATTTGATTCTAATTTAAATGATTTTTTATAATCATATACAATACATATATATTTCTTCATATTTTTTCATACATGGCTGTCCCTTGTTTCATATATATATATTTTTTCGAGTTATTCGAGTTGTATTTTATAACTCGATTTGAACTTGAATTTTTTTTAGTTGATTAGAGTTTATGAAATCATAATTTGAAGTCAATTCAAATTGAGTTTTTTTTAATTAAGTTGAATCTAAAATATCAATTTTTTGATGCGAGTCGAATTTTGCTCACCCCTCCCGAAAGACCCTATGAAAACAGAAAACTTGTTCAACTTCTTAATGCATCGTTGCGAATTCTCATGTCATGAAAATTCACCAAAATTATCAGCGTGCAATGAAGTACTCTTCCAGAAACTTCAACATGATCTAAACCGAAGAATAACTGCAAAATCTTTATTTAGACTTACAAATATGAAGGAAAGGGAAGTGATTTACAGGCATAGTAGTCCACGAAAAATAAAAAGAACATTTGTAATATCATACAAAATGGACGAATGAAGAACATATGGGGAACATTCAAGCTTGAGTTGAGGTAAACAACCAGGCCTCTTCAACTTTATGATTTTGACGATCTAGTTTCTTGCCTAAAGAATATGATCGGGTTTTATGAATACGATTCGAACGAGTAGTTCGGAGACTTCACCTTCGATACGAAATCGTACGTCTATGACTTCGCAGGTAAGATCACCATCAGGGAAAACCAAGTCCCTGAACCTGCAAGAACAAGGCCAAAGGTAACACTTTCAACACACAAAGCTCAGAGACCTAAAGAATAAATCTGGATTTTACGAATGCGATTCGAATGAGTAGTAGTTCGGAGACCTCACCTTTGTTGTGAGATTATACGTCTAGTCTTTCTCAGATAAAATCTCCATTACCGAAAACCACGTCCCTGAAAGTGCAAGAACAGCTCCAAAGGTCATAATTCCAGCATCCAAGACGCATCCCTTCCATCCTTGCTCGTCCTTGAATGCCAACAAATGAAGCGAACCAGGTAATATGAACCCCAAACAGCAACACACGCTGCTTCCGACCAAGGATAAGAAATCCGCGAAATTCGACACGAACAAAGCTACCAAACTTACAGACAAAACAAGTAGCCATCTTAGCCACAAGCATACCTCCCTCCCGAAAATCTCCTCTCAACAATCTCATCAACCGGATTCATTATCAATGGGAAAGTGAAAAACAAGTTGAACCAAAAAGCTGATCCAACCAGGCCCTAAGTTATAAGTAATAATGTCTTTGGTTGCAGCACCAAAAGCAAAGTAACCCAGAGCTCCAAATGCTCCATACATCAAAGTAGTCAAACCCATGCTGAGTGCCAATATTTTGCCAAACTTAGTATCGTCTTTCATCTCAGATTCTATAGGCAAAACAATAACAATCCCTTCGTATCCGAAAGCGCCACACCCATGCCGTAGAACACAGAGACACCCCCAAAAGCCTTAACTTCCTGGCTTCGCTTCATAATAAGTCTCAAATCCTCAACCATAATCACTCCCATTGCCCCAATATCCACCACATCAGCAAAAATACTTAATGGAGCTAAATGTGTTAATGTTTTAATCGAATTCAACCCCAACTGGAATGGAAAAAATCCCCATTTATACAAATTCTTCGCTGTAAAACGGGACATCCCCGAGTTTAAACTTGAATTCATGGATGGTTCATTGTGAAAAAGATGGATTAGAGTGTTGGAAATGAATATAAGATATCCAATACAAAATCCAGCTTGAGAGAGAGTAATAAGTACATCAACAACTAGCCTGCCAATATAATTTTAGCAATGAGAGGATAAAATAATCAAATTCGGATGTCTGACCATTAGAATATACGCAGAAAAGCAATAAAATCATCAACAAGAGACAACTTGCAATAGTCAGCTATAAGCCTGGTGAAGCAAGGGACAGATGATCAATAAAAAAACAGGTTAAAATATGTTCCAAGTCCCTTCACTTTTCATACATTTGAAATGTAGTCCCTGTTCAATTCCAATAGTTAAACACCATTAAAATTCTTTAGTTAAATATAAGTCCATTACATAATTGCTAAGCTAGTATTTTTTTTTTCTAATTTCAAAATAAGAATTTTAATAATGTGGATAATTGAACTTGAATTTTTAAATTGAGAAGATTAGGGACTAAATTATTATAATTAAAAGTAAAAGGACTAAATTTCAAAAGTACTAAGGGTACAGGGACTTAAAACATATTTGAACCTAAAGAAAATTATTGGTGCATTTCAGTGTCATTGTTGAAGGACTTCAAATGATAAGCATATCATAATTCAATGCAAAACTAGTTATGAACGCTTTTAAGATTAGTCAAAATTTCAGAAGATTATGTAACAAATTAAAGACAATCCAAATGTAGGAAATGATTCAAAACGTAATTAAAAACAACAACAAAACCTGCCAGAGGTGCCACAAACAGCGAAACTCAGATCGCCAAAAGAATTAACTTCGGCTACGCCATTATCAACTGAATCGAGCTTACGGCGGATTTGAACCAAAAGCATCATACACTAGGTGGTGGAACCAACAGTGAAGAAAAGAATGAATAAGCTAATGATTCATCCGGTTCTCTTGAAAGTGTAAGACATTCCTATAACGTCGGCACCAACTATGGCTATAAATACATTGGTCAATGTCTTGGGATGCGACGATAACAACTTCAGCTCGCCTATGAGAGGTGTTTCTTCTCCTGGCGAAGGGGACATCGATTTTCTTGAAGATGAGGACGAGATCTTTTCCTTAACGGAAACCATGGTTGATTGATTTCTCGACCAAAACAAAATTTGGGTTAAAAACGTTCGTCTGCAGATGGAATTTGGATTTCTTTTATATGAAAATTGGAATGCAAAATGTGCAATCACTAATCACAAAAACAAAATATATAATTTTAACTTGAAAATACAAAATAGCACACTTTTGATGGAAAGAGATGGAGACGATAAGTGAGAACTTATATTTTATAATATTCTCTGAGATATGTTACGTAAATTTGTAATAGTATAATATTTAACAGCTAGTCCATATCTATATCTTTATGTATTAAATAAAATTAAAAATATGTTAATTAAGAAATTATTATTTCCATAAAATTTGTGATCTTAAGGAGTAATCGATACATAACATAAATAAATCAGTTGCAAATTTGCTTTACGTTGACAAAGTCCACCATTCAAGCCTTTGAGGTCATGCTTGAGATTGTGCACACTTTGGCGATCGGGTTAAAGCGGGAGTCCGTAGAGGTTATGAGTTTGTGGGCTTCAACATAGTCAGTTTGATATTGGACACGTTCAAAACCATGTTCCCAAGCAAGATTGAGACCTTCAAGGATCTAAAGTTCAGCATGGAACGTAGAAGTTGGTAATTTGTTAAAAGGACTAAGATGGTGTTTATGCAATATTTTATGGAACAATTAAATGTTAATTTTTTTTGGTTAATGTTCCATGACATTAATTTAAAATTATTATTTTTGTTATAATTCCATGACATTAATTTTATGGGCCAATTAAAAGTTAATTTTTTTGTTAATGTTCCATGACATTAATTTAACGGTGGAATGATTCTTTCATTACAAATAGATAACGTTAAGGACCGTTTATAGCTTTTAAACTTAGTGGCGAAATGTGAAACTTATCTAAACTTTATGACCGTTGATGTAGTTTAACCTAAACGCTTCTTCGAAAGAAACCTAATAAAACTGCGATGCTTCTATTTTTCTTGTTTCGCCCTTACGTTCGTTCCTTCCCGCCGCTTGAATCTCGCTTCAAGCTTTCTCTAGCTATCAACAATGGCATCAATTCTCACAAAGAAACCAAAAAAGACCAAATTGAAAGAGTTGAAAACCCTAGGTCAGCAACTCCTCTCTTCACGAGCTCACATCAACAATCTCCCTATCCTCCTCACCTTCATATCGCCGTCGTCGCCGCCACAACACGTTCTCGAATCACTCCTCTCGCTTCAGTCTTTTTTCACCACGGTGCTCCCCGACCTCCCTCCCTCTCATTCATCGAAAAAACGGCCGCGTCTCGACGATTCAGCTAAGGAGGGTCCTGAGTTTATTTACAGGACGTGGCTGAGATCAAAATTCGACGAGTTCATTACATTGTTGATTGAAGTTTTGGTTTCTCCGGATACTGAGGACGCTTTGAGAGTAACTCCGTTTCTTCTTCTTCCTTATACATTTGAACTTGACGACGATGTTCTGATTGCTCTTTTTTAAGTAGGAAATTGTGTTGGATTCGTTTATGGAATTCGTGAAGCTCGGAAATGGAGGAAGCTTTTATTCTGCTATTTATCACAAATTACTGCGCATCATTGTAAGTTTTATTTAGTTAAAATCACGCTTCAATGGTGTTTATAATATTTCCATTTTCTTTTTTATTATCAGTTTATAATTAGTTATAATTTTTTCAGGTTCAATCTGCAACACCTGTTGATTTTTTATCAGAGTTGCTTGCTTCGAAGTATTTTAAGTATATTGATGTCCGGTATGGTTCAAACTTTCTTTTGCAATTAATTAAATTCCCAAATCTGACCTGTTGTGAAGTTTCATTGTTTTGAAATAGTTGAATAATGTCTGTGTTCCAATTCCTTTCTTTAACGGTTTTGGATTAATGCTACCAATCAGATCATTGTTATTGATGGAAGAGGTGATAGTGTATTCTAGCTATAATTTCAGTTGTTTCTCTTACTATATCTTCTTCTTGTTGGTTTCCCTTCCACAGAGCAAATTTGTAGTTGCTGAAATTTTTATGTTAGATTTCATATTTTCTTGGGAAAGTTTCATTTCTTGCTATGATAAATGGTGCACTGCCTTTTTTCTTTCACAGGTATTTTACGTTCATTAGCATGGAAAAACTTTCTAAAACTTTGGACACAACAGATGTCCCTGGTACCTTTCAGCCAGTCTCTATTTCAAAGTACATCTTTGTTCTCTTCAGATTTTATTTTGTTGGACTCTGTTTGATTAACTTTCTGTTAATTTTCCTTGCTTAGATGACAAAACTGTGGGTGGAGACGGTGACAGTGGGAGTCAATCAAGAGAGAGGTTAGATTTGGCCATTATTTTGTTAACATCTTTCTAAATACTCTTTTTTCTACTCTTATAGTGTATCTCTGCAAATTAAATCTGCTTAAATATCTATTTTTTTTACTTATAATGAATTTATTCAAGGACATGAAAGAACTTACTATCACCTTTTGTTCACCCATATCATATTATAATGCCTGGATGGTTGTTATAATTACAATACGAGAATAGGAGGTTGCTGAATTGTTGCTGAATTGTTGCTGTGTTTGTTGCAGCATTGAGCTTTCTATTCACAAGATTCATTACATCATATCTCACATCCCCCCTTTGGAAGGCAATGATGGAAAATCTGAGTATGAGATGTGGAGTGGATCAGGTGATTCTTTTCTTTCTGTTTTTATTTTTATTTTTGAAGTAGCTGTCCTTTGGATATGTATTACGAATTTTAATTTTAGGTGAATTATTCTAGCTATCGTCATCTAGAGCCTTGACTGGTGGGAGATTATGATTCATTCTTTACTTCTTCCTGGATCAAACTATTAATATGGAAATTTTTCTGATTTTATCTTTCCTTTTAGGTTTGCCGTGCTTGATTTGTAGTGTGAGTGATCTTAGGAAGTTGCAGAAAATTAGACACAAGCTTCTCTTTTAAATTGCATAGTAAATGTGCTTTATCGGTGAAGCAAAATTATTTATTTGTTCTGTATTAAACAGGATTTTCATCTAAGGAAGAACATGATAAAAAGGAGCCCTCTAAGCGTCAGAAGGCAGAAGATAAAAAGCTTAAGACTGAAAAACAAACAAATAATGTAAGTTATGAATTATTTTTGAGGAAGATGGTTCCATAATTTCCTTTTAGATTTAGTTGCATATTAGTAGATAGTCTGCCTTTTTTTGCTTGCTTCAATTGACACCTTGCAGTATTAAGTTCTTCCTTGTTTTTTTTCTCTTGTGGGATGTGATGTGAGCACTCAGGTGTTGTCTCCAGCCACCATTGCAAAGAAGATGAAACTGAAGTTTACTAAAGCATGGATTTCATTCCTTAGACTACCGATCCCTATAGATGTATACAAGGAGGTAAACACTAAAGCTGTTCTACTCTTTTGAACTGATATTAAGTGCTTGTTCCTCGGCCTCAGCATTGATGGTAGGCTGGTTTAAGGCTCACATTTATTTTTTAAGCTAGGCTTGTATCTTCTATTTCTGATTATATGAAATATGGACTATGTTTGTTATTATTCAGTCCTGCATGTGCTTTCTCAGGTTCTTGGCACTCTTCATCAGGCAGTCATCCCTCATTTGTCAAATCCTATAATTTTATGGTAATTGATTTAATCCCAGTAGTTTTAGCACTTATTGATGGTTGATGCATCATCACAATAAGCTGATTTATTTTCTATAATGTGCAGTGACTTCTTAACAAGATCATATGATATTGGCGGTGTAGTTAGTGTCATGGCACTTAGCAGCCTCTTCATCCTAATGACACAACATGGTCTAGAGTACCCAAATTTCTATGAAAAGCTTTATGCGCTTCTGTCACCTTCTATCTTTATGGCAAAACATAGAGCCAAGTTTTTTCAGGTAATACAAATTGCTAAACATAACATTGCTCTCCACTTTTATAGGTTTACCCTTCTGTCTACATAATGCTGTAAAATTTAGCTTTAGATTTGATACTGGAAATATTTTTGTCAAGTTGATAGTCTTTGGTATTAATGCAAACAGTGAAGCTATATTGAATTGTTGAGAAACTGTAAATGCATCTAATTGTTCTTTGGCGTTGGTTCTAAATTTAATCAGTGAAACTATATTAAACTGTTGAGAAACTGTAAGTGTATCTACTTGTTATTTGTTGTTTGTGTCATTTTTTTATAAGATTAGAAGGCCTCATTAAAAACCTCCTTCTTGATTAATGGATCTTGAAAAGAAGCTCCTTAATCATCGGAAGGAAGAAAAGAGCGCCTTAGATTTTCATTAAAGAAAATAAGATTACAACCTAGATAGATCTCTTCGAAATAACCCTTACAACAGTCCATAAATCCCACCCGAACAGGAATCAAATGCTAAACTGAAAAAGCAAACAACATAAAAATTAGCCTATTCCAGCCTTTGCTAAAGCATCGGCGTCCATATTTGTTGTTTGTGTCATTGATGGTTAACTTTTTATACTTTCTATTTTTGAATTTTTTTTCTGATATTTCAGTTGTGCTCGATAGACTACTTGTGTTAAAAGAACAAGACACTTAAAATATTTCTTGTTTTAATCAATTAAGGTCCTGAGATGGTTCTGTACCTTATCTTTTTCTCTTTGGTACTAAGTTGTCTATCCATTATCACGTAGAACATTGTAGGATTTTGTAATCAAGTAAAGAGTTCTGCTGCTGCAGTTGGTATCTTCTAGTTTAATATGTTTTCTTTCCTTGTTTTGCAGCTTCTTGATTCTTGCCTGAAGTCGCCACTTCTTCCTGCATATTTGGCTGCTGCTTTTGCGAAGAAATTAAGTAGACTGTCTATTTCTGTCCCTCCATCTGGAGCACTGGTTATCATAGCTTTGATTCACAACCTTTTACGTCGACATCCATCAATTAACTGTTTGGTCCACAAGGTATTACTACAATCTTAATATTTAACAAATTTAATTAAACTCCCTTGCATAAATGCAACAAAGTTTATGATTTTTTTTTTTTGCTATTGTAGGAAGATGGCGATGAAAGTTCAGAAGATAGATCTAAAGCTGAGGATATAGCCAACAAGGCAAATGATTCTGGACCTGACAAAAGACCTGGTATTGATCATTTCAATAGTGAGGAGAGCAATCCTCTGAAATCTAATGCCATGAGTAAGTATACAACAAATCAAAACTTGAATGCCCCCTTGTTCTTTAATTGTTGAATTTATGCATCTTTTTACCTCTATAAGCTGTATGGAACACATTTAGCATAAAAGATATGGTCAGAGAGAATTAATGTGCATTCTATACGAAAATGGAAGCTTCTATTTAGTGACAGTGTTAACAACTTGGAGATTTTGAATTCTCGTTACCCATTGGTTAAGCTTTTAGCAGTTTACTATTAAGTCCTTGGGCATCGATTATTTTTGTAGTTGAATGCATTACTGCAGGACATAAATTTCTTACCATCACCATATTATTTGAAAAGTAGATGTTCTTTATTCTCATTTTTTATTTTGCTGGGTTAACTTGGGAAGTTGTGGTATTTTCTGTCATCCAAATCTGAATAGAATTGGCTTTAATTTGATAATATAAAGACATCCAAGCTTCCTACTAACCATGTGGGGCTTTGTGAATGGTACATATCTTGAATGTACACTGTTCCTCTGTACAACGCAATCCTTAAAGTCTATAATTTTTGGTTTTGCTTCCAATAGCTCATCCGTATGTCAATGTTTCCTTGAACAGGAAGTTCTCTTTGGGAAATAGATTCCCTTCGACACCATTACTGCCCACCAGTTTCAAGGTAACAACATGGTGCTTTTACCCTTTGAAACACTATATGCATACGATACCTAATGATTTCAGTTTTCGATTCTTTTAGGTTTGTGTTGTCATTGGAGAATGATTTGACAGTTAGATCCAAAACCACTGAAATGGACATCAAAGATTTTAGTTCTGGTTCATATGCAACAATATTTGGAGACGAGGTAAATATCATCTTTATCCTTTTCTATGAATATGCAGAAATGTTAAGTAGACATTTTAGAAAAAAGCTTGCCTGAATCAATTTGTAATTTCCATATATACTAGCAGCAATTTAGAAGTTTGTCAACTTCGAAATGCCCTTTTAGATTAGGATAGGCTATAAGCTCTCAAAATAAATCTTTCATGATCCCGGTCTACGTCACCCGGGCTCTGCCACTCTAACGGCGTTCTTATGATGTGCCCCACGTCGAATATTTTAAAAAAGTAGTCTGAGACAACATAGGTTCTGATATGCAATTTCAAGTAATCCATTGTTTTGATCTTTCCCCCCATAAATGCAGATTCGACGTCGGGTAAAGCAGGTTCCTTTAGCCTTCTATAAAGCAACGCCGACGTCTTTGTTTCCCGAGTCTGAATTTTGTGGTTGGACCTTCAAACACGAGGGAAGCAAGGAAAACGAGAGTGAAGATAAGAAGCAGGAAACATCCAAAGAAAATGTTGCTTCAACAAAACGACAGCGGCTAGAATGCTGATAATGTTCGTGAATTGTTTCCATGGGGAGAATCGGCAATTTTACTTGAATTTTTTAGATTAAATTTTGTAAGACTAAACTGAAATTGTCGTAAAATTGTACCAAAATTAAGAAATCTTAATTAAAATATTTAGAAGTAACTGCAAAATTAAAATATATTTTAGTAAATTTGTTGAGTTCAATTCTCATAGTGTTTTTTTAATTGAAAAAAAAGTCCTAAAAACTATTTGTTTTTTAAAAAAAATATATATGACTAACTTTTAAAAGAGAAAATGAAAGATGTCTAGAAGTAAAATGATGACTATTTTATAATTTTTTGTAAATTGAAAATTAAAAAATGTCCAATAAACGAAAGATTATTTATATATTTTATTCTAAAAAGTTTTGTGGAGTTTAATGGAATTTGTTGAGTCTGCCATGACTTTTTTGCACTGGATAGAGTAGAGGTACTCCTATGACTGAAAGTGACCTATCTTGCTCCTAATCCCCTCCTTTTTTTTATAAGATATATTCTTTTTTTATAAAGAAAAATATTATAATAAGATAAGAGTTTAATATCAATCTTAAAAGTTACGACTGAATCAATGATCGTAATTTTTTAAATCAATATTTGTATAAATAATTCTAAGGGTTAACTACGTATTAATCATCTACTTATTTTTGAGGTTTTGTTTTAGTTTTCCAACTGTCTATTTTTCTTTTAAAACCATACTTATCGTTATATTTAAGTTTCATTTTGATCATTCGTTGTTCAAAAATTAACAGTGATGCTGATGTGTCATCATGAGATAATATTTCATTACCATTAAAAAATAAAAAATTATCACGCCAATAATTATATTTAATTTTTAATAATGGATGATCAAAATATAACATTATATATGATTTAAAAAATAGTTAACTGACCAAAACAAAACCGTGGAAATAAGTGGTGACTAAATTAGTAATTTACCCTAATCTAATCTCAAAACCATTTCCCTTAAACCATCCGCATCATACTACATGAAACACATGCTCAAATAAAAACTATTCCAAAAATGAAAAAGAAAATATCATGAAGGCAAAAGTAGCAGTCCCACTACTTTCCAGAATTCCAATAACTTCTTCTTTGGGACGAAAGTGGATGCTCATTTTCAATGAACCTGATTTGTTCTTTTTTCCATAGAGAAAAAAACCCATATATATATTTTTTTATATAACTCCTTTCTGCATTTACCTTAATGATCAGTTGCATTACCTTAATGTTTTTTGCTGCTTTGCTTTGCTTGCTTTTGGTGGTGTCCACGAAGCTCAAAATTTCGTGCTTTTCATGTTGCTTTTTTTTTATATATGTTTTAGTTTTCTAAACAATAAAGCTTTTTGCTATTGGACTAACAAACTGTTATTTAATTCTCCATGCCATAACTTGAGATTGGGTTTGTCTGATTATTCTCTGGTGAGATTTTACTTTACTGAATCGAAATCTTTAGAATGCTTTTTGGTCTCTTTGACCTTTGCCTTATGGTTTTGTTAGTGTTGGTACTTGCCTTGGAACTCAATCATTCCCTTCACTTGTCTGTCGGTTATATATGAATTTTGATTAATTTTGGGTTATGACTTGATCTATTATTCCTTCAGTGTGACTCTTGATTAATCGAAGAATTTGAGCATTTGATTTGGGTATTTGGTCGTTATCGATTCGGTGCTTAACACCATGAACCTGGCTTTGCTGCTTTTGATTCTTAATCTCTTTGTTGGAGTGTTTTCAAAAGAGGCTTTGAAGCCTAATGTTGTGAATGTTGGAGCTATTTTCTCATTTAGCACTACTAATGGGAGAGTTGCAAAGGTTGCAATGAAGGCTGCCGAGAATGATATAAACTCTGATCCGAGCATTCTTGGCGGAAAGAAATTGTCGATTACCCTCCATGATTCGAACTTCAGCTCGTTTCTCGGCATTATCGGAGGTATACTCTTTGATCTCCACTTATTATGTTCGGTTCATTTCGTTCATATCCAACACCAGATCTCTATGTTCACAACGAATTAGAATGAATAATAGTACTTCTAATGTAACATTACAGATATTCATGTTATGTGCTTTCAATTTCTTTGATATTCACAGCATTGCAGTTTATGGAGACTGATACGGTAGCAATAATCGGTCCACAAAGTTCGGGGATGGCACATGTTCTATCGCATCTTGCGAATGAACTCCATGTTCCATTATTGTCATTCACGGCCCTGGATCCCGGTCTGTCGCCTCTCCAGTTCCCGTTCTTTGTTCAGACGGCGCCTAATGACAAGTTCCAGATGACTGCCATTGCGGAGATGATTAGCTATTTCCGCTGGGCTGAAGTGATTGCTGTTTTCAATGATGATGATCAGAACCGAAATGGTGTAATTACATTAGACGATGAACTTGCTGGGAGACGTTGCAGGATTTCTTATAAAGCCGTACTTCCACCCGACCCGACAGCGACGAGTAGTGATGTTCGGAGAGAATTAACTAAGATTCAGATGATGGAATCTCGAGTTATTGTGCTGCACACGTTCTCGGGAACCGGTCTCTTGGTCTTTGAAGTTGCCAAGAGCCTTGGAATGATGGGGAAAGGATATGTTTGGATAGCTTCTACTTGGCTATCCACTGTTTTAGACTCAACCTCCCCACTTAAACCCGAGACAGCAAAGTCGATCCGAGGAGCACTTACACTTCGCCCTCATACACCTGATTCGAAAAAGAAAAGGGACTTTATTTCACATTGGAACCAACTGAGCAGAGGTTCTATTGGGTTTAACCCCTATGGTCTTTATGCATATGATACTGTCTGGATGATTGCTCGTGCAGTAAAGTTGTTACTTGATCAGGGAGGCAACATTTCGTTTTCAAATTATGCGCACTTAGCCGATGCTGGTGGGATGGATCTGAATCTTTCCGCATTAAGTATATTTGATGGCGGGAAGCAGTTGCTCAAGAACATAATAGAGACAAATGTGACCGGTTTGACAGGCCCTGTTCGGTTCGATCAAGATAGATCCCGGATAAATCCTTCGTATGATGTTATTAATGTGGTTAAATCTGGGTATAGACCAGTTGGATTCTGGTCTAACCACTCTGGTCTTTCCATCATGCCACCTGAGACATTTTACGGGAAAAAGCCTAATCGTTCTAGTTTGAACCAACATTTAGGTAGTGTGGTATGGCCTGGAGGAGGAACAAGACCTCGTGGTTGGGTTTTTCCGAACAATGGAAGACAATTAAGAATCGGAGTTCCGAATCGAGTTAGTTTCCGAGACTTCGTCTCGATAGTCAATGGCACAGATAAGGTGCAAGGGTATTGCATAGACGTATTTCTTGCTGCAATTAAATTGATGCCGTATGCTGTTCCATACAGGTTCATTCCATTCGGAGATGGCCTTAAGAACCCTAGCTATTACGAGCTTGTCAGTAAAATCAATTCGGGTGTAAGTATACTGGAATGAAAAAGGCAACTGCTTTCTTAAATGATTTGAAATGTTAGATAGTTATTTTTCCTATCAATTTGATATTTTGTTATTGTAGGTCTTTGATGGTGCAGTAGGTGATATTGCCATTGTAACAGACCGTACAAGAATAGTAGATTTCACTCAGCCATATATAGAATCAGGGCTGGTGGTGGTAGCTCCGGTAAAACGGATAAGTTTGAGCCCTTGGTCTTTCGCACGACCATTTACTCCTTTCATGTGGGCAGTCACAGCAGCATTTTTCCTCATTGTCGGATCAGTTGTGTGGATCCTTGAGCATAGAATAAACGACGAGTTCCGGGGGCCTCCTAGGCAGCAAATTGTCACAATTTTAACGTGAGTGAACATATGAAGTTCATACTTTTATGTATGCATTAGCTTATATTGCACCTCCTTCCATTTCCCCTTGCAGGTTTAGCTTCTCGACGATGTTTTTCGCCCATAGTAAGTTCTTTCTGTTTCATCATTTGGACAATTTCACTTTTTTCTACTTTCTCCGTAGAATTTAGAGCTTAGAATCAGCTATGTACATCATGATATCGTACCAACTCTTGTGTTTTCGGAAATTTCAGGAGAAAATACAGTGAGCACACTCGGACGCCTTGTACTGATCATATGGCTTTTTGTAGTTCTGATAATCAATTCAAGCTACACTGCAAGCCTGACATCGATCCTCACGGTGCAACAGTTATCATCACCTATAAAGGGCATTGATTCTTTGATTAGTAGCAGTGAACCAATAGGCTTCCAAGTCGGGTCTTTCGCCCGAAGCTATCTAATCGAGGAACTGAATATTCCGAGATCTAGACTTATTGCACTAGGCTCACCTGAAGAATATGCAGAAGCCCTTGAGAAGAGAACTGTAGCTGCAATAGTCGATGAGCAACCGTATGTCGATCTCTTCCTCTCAGAGCACTGTGAATTCTCAGTTAGAGGGCAGGAGTTCACCAAACGCAGTTGGGGATTTGTAAGTTATCTGATGCTTTTCTTTCCTTTTTTCCCCTCTGCACATTTCGGTAATTCGATTCGATTTAAGTTGCTTTCATTCAATTATGTATAGAAGTTTGTTCAAGTTGTGTGTTGCGTGATGTTGAGCTATAAAAATACATAAATTCAACTGATTATAATGCTTTGATCTTCAACACCCTATCTCTAAATGATCTCTGGTAAATGGTTTTCTTTAGGCATTTCCTCGAGACTCTCCGTTAGCCATTGACATGTCTACTGCCATTCTTGCTCTATCCGAGAACGGTGAGCTTCAGAAGATTCGTGACAGATGGCTGTCAAGAAGTGCATGTAGTTCTGAGGAGTCCAACGATGAATCGGAGGAGCTCGATTTAAAAAGCTTCTGGGGACTATTCCTTATTTGCGGAAGTGCATGTATTCTCGCTCTCCTCGTGTATTTTCTATTGATGTTTCACCAGTTCAGTCAGCATTGCCCCGAGGAACCCGGTTCCACAAGTCGTGACAGATCCAGAACCTATTCTTCACGTCTTCGAACATGTCTGTCATTCATTGATAAAAAGGTTGAGAAATCTCAAAGCAGCTCGAAAAGAAAGCGAGAGGGTACGCCCCCGAAAGGTTATCATAAAGAGAATGTATAAACATATAGATGAGGGAGGATAGAGGGTGTCATCTTCCAAGAAAGGAAACTGTCGCGTTCCAGTACCAGTTCTAGAGAATCGACTTCAGCTTTTGCAGGTAAAAGACTTTCCCCAATATTCCGTCGACTTGAATCGGGGTAACATAAACTTAGGTATGATTCTAAAGAAACAGTGCCCAAGTCATGTTTTGTCAACTACTTTAACTGTAATACTGCATACAATATAGAACCAGTTATGTCTCCTCTTCCTTTCTTAATTTCAGAATCAATATTCAAGGAAAAATAACAGATATGATTCTCTTTGATTTGCAACAACATTATGGTACCAAATAACCTTTCGAAAACAGAAGATTTAAATGTCATTTAGAAACTCTGCCTACTTGAATGAAAAGAAGAAAATTTGAACAAAAACCAAAACTTTCAATATCCATGAAACTTGAAGAAATAACCCAAAACTCAGTTCTCCTTGGTAGCTTCAACCTGCTTTGCACCAAGTGCAAAGAATTCTGTAATGACTTCAAGTGGCATGCCTTTGGTTTCCGGAACTTTTAAGAAGACAAACACCCATGCTATAACACATACAATCGCATACATGCCGAAGACACCCGCGAGACCAACTGATTTCAGCAGCACTGGGAGTGAATAAGTGACGATGATATCACCGATCCAAAAGGTAAGTGCGCATATAGCAATGCAGATGCCACGAACCCGTGTTGGGAAAATCTCGGAACACAGAATGTTGGGAATTGGCCCGAATCCCATGACGAAGAAACAAAAGTAGAGCACGACACTGACAGTTGAGATCGAGGCGTGCACAATGCTACTCATTTTCACGGCACTTCCGATGACTAAGACTATGAGAGATATTATCAGGACAGGAAGTGTGTTGAGTAGCAGACTCCTGTAACAGAAGCAAAGACGAGAACAATCAAAGTTACATAGCAGGCACGATATCGTCTAATGAAACATATGTTTATATGCTTATGGGTGAGACTTATTCTCCAAGAAAATCAACTAAAGGAAGAAATTTACCTTCTACCAGCTAAATCCACAAGCCGCATGGCGATAACTATACTTGGAAGCATCAACAAGGTTGTAAGGCCGCTGATAAGCAATGAAGCAGAAGTTGAAGTGAGGCCTAAGTTAGAAAGAAGAACGCCGACTCCTGCCTGTTCGAGAATCTGGGGAGTGTAGTATAGAACCCCGTTTATACCAGAGAACTGCATTTTAAAAGCAGAGAAAGCAGGGATCCTCAATAAGCAAGTCATCAAAATGTAGATGTTTTTTCAAGAATACTATACCACATTGATGGCAGTGTATCGAGCCGTTTCAAAGAATGCGGTGTATAAGTTTAGACAAGATTCTGCTACAAAAGCAAAAAGAATGGATATTTCTAACAGTGCCATGTGTTCTATTCCATGGATGTTTCTGAAGGTTTAAACAAGATTCTGATTTCATCGCTAGAGATACATGTTTATATAAGCAGAGCAATGGCAAAGCGATTTACGATGCGAAATGAGAATGCTTGACATTTCTGCATACACAAGTTAGAAGGGTTCTCCACATTACCTGCTGAAGTATTTGAATTCCCACCCCTACCAATAAAGCATGCTTTACTCCTGGTTCGAATAGATCATGCCAACTTGGTCCTTTTGTAGTTTCGGCCGGATGAACCATAGCTGGTCCAACCGGATGCCGCTTCTCAAGCTCCGAGGAATAAAGAGCTGCCTGACTCACCAAAGCAGAAGCTTGGACATACTCACTTTCAGCAGGGACATCAACACCAGGCAGAAAAATTATTGAGCCACGCCTAGATGCGGGTACATTCTCTTGATGCAAATAAATTCTTTTAAATCCCCCTTCCTTTTTCCCATCCGAGGTTTCCTTTTCAGACCATTTATAGGCCAGCTGCCAACCGCCGCCAATCCCCGTGCTACCAATCGGTTCTCCAGTAGTTGATTGCAATAGACTACCTTGTCTCAGGTTAGTAAGGCTTCCATGGACAGTTGGAAGAATGTCCTTATCCATGCTGGTTGCTTGCCTTGAGATCAAAGGACTATGCAAATTGTCATCGGAATCATTAGCGGCACCATCATGTGCATAATCTTCTCCCTCCATGGAAGCATTCTCTTCATCCCACTCTTCATGTCTAGCTTGATTACCTCCCACGCTGAACATGCTGCCAAAGTTCGGAAAAAGTGTGCCACGCATACTTCCTTGTTCAGGGAGCTTCTCATGGACACTTCCAAAGAGAGTGACAAGAGGATCCACAAGGACCTGACCAGTCTGGCTAAGCATGCTTCCATGCCGAGACGCAAGACCAATAGTACTACCATGTTGTCCAGTGACTGGTCTGGCCACCCAAGACTGGCCTGCTTCAGGTCCATACAACTTGATTTGATCTTTCTCAGCAGATATATCATCGTCTTCAACATCATCAGTTGTCGGGCCAATTACGTACTCTTCTATCGATGTTTCACCTCCAACACCAAGCCCCTCAACTAACAAAGCCATCTCACCTGTCATCTAAATAATATCAGTACCAACCACATTATGCATCATATTCATCATAGTAAATCCCATGGTGGGCAGTCATTTCTACTTGAAAACTTGTGTCTAAAAAGAAAATACAGTCTCAAAAGGTGTGTATCAATTACCAAGAAGGATCAAGTTATATGATATACACAATGAAAACATTTGACTGGCTTTATTGTCCGATAAATTATAAGATAAATTATAAGAGTCACCATAGAAGAACTAACCGGCAACATCCTCCCTGCCACGCAGCCTCTGCAAAACTTTTTTTGCCTCATCCATTCGCCCTTTACTTACAAGCCATCTCGGTGATTCAGGCAAGAAGAATATAGCTAATACAAAATATACGAGCGAAGGAATAGAAAGAACACCAAGCATCAATCTCCAATTCGGTGATGGTGATAACGACATTCCAAAAACCATGCAATACGAAAAAAACATTCCCATGGAACCAGTAAACTGTGGAAAGGTATTCAGCAACCCCCTTATTTCAGGTGGTGCAGTCTCGGATATATAAACTGGGACCAAAGTTACAGCCAAACCGATTCCGAATCCAGCCAAAAGTCTCGCCAAAAGTAAGATGTAGACATTAGGAGACCACACCATTACAAGACCGCTAAGAAAATAAAGGACTGATGAGATTATCAGCATGGGGCGGCGGCCTAGCCAGTCCGATATTCCTCCCGAGCATGTAGTAATGCAGGTGGCTCCAATGAGAGACATGGCTACAATCAGGCCTTCAATAGTCGGTTCCGTTTCCAATTTAAACTCTTTCTTTATGTACAAAACAGCACCTGCAACATGTTACAGAAGGAGGATCTATAATTAATGAATCTGAAGAAAACCTCTACATACATACTAACCATTTACATCAATGAAATTAGAGATCGACTCGAACTTTTATGATAGATCTTTGACATATGAAAGTGGCCATTTTAGTCCAAAAGACTGATATTTCGATGTTCATGAAACTAGTGAATAACTAAGGAGTATATCACCTGCAATGGTGGCATTATCCCATCCTTGCAACATGTTACCAATGGTTGCTGCAAGGGCTATAAGCACGGCTGCATTCATTTTCGCAGGAAAACGAAAATTTCGACACTGAACTAAGCACGCTGGAAATTTAAACGAGAAAACCCAGAACGTGGATCAATCAATACATTCAAACCAATCCCTGATTTAATATCTGTAGAAAAAACAGCATATCACAGTTCCCGTACAAACACACCACACGGTTCATACTTCATACCAGGAAAACAAAAACTTCCCGGCGTATTTAAAGGAAACAAAAATGGAAACAAACAAGAAAAAGTACAAAAAAAATCCAAAAAAATTAAGAAGTGTACATCCAAATCCAATATGAAATGGAAAGAAGCGTACATCCAAATCCGATATGAAACGGAAAAAAAATGGTTAACATTACCTATGGAAGCAAAGGCAAATATGGAAGGAGCAGAAAGCCGTTGATAAGAGTTTCAACAATCATCAGATTTAGAAAAATCCATAACAAACTTCCCTGCAAATTGCCATCACCTTTGACGTTAAATAAAAAACCAACGGCAATTATCGTTGGGTTGATGAGATTTTTTTCTCTTCACAATAACAAGAAAAAACGAAATGCCAAACAGAAAAGGGGGGGGGGGGACAGAGAGAAAATCAAATTGAAAAAGAAAAAAAAATGAAAATCCAAAAGGGAAAATAGATGGTATGTGGATTGGCCTTTGGAACCTTGCCACCTGCCCTCCTTATGCTGCTCTCCAAATCGCACGTATGCGATTGCCGTTATCTATCACACTGTAAAATCCACCACTTCACTCACTTTCCTCTGATTACATCAAAATATATAACCATCAGAGAAAAGGCATAATCAGCTCTCCCGTCGTTTTCACCTTTATTGCTGCTTGCGTAGAGGAAAACCCAGATTTTGTTTTCTCGGAGAATAATAGTACTACGAAATACATGAAAAGACGCCACTTATTGGGAAATTTGTTTTTATCACCTCTTATGGAAACAGAATAATTGTTTAATAATTAATGAAGAAAAGCAAAGGGAAAAACTGGTTACTGCTTCAGATGAATCTAAAAACACCGTCATTTACTTTCCAGATTGAATCTTTGAAAACAGAAAAACTTTTGCTTGCATTAACAACTACGGGGAGATGAATTAAACAAGAAATGGTTTTGATCTACAATTTCCGAATATTATTATTTCTGTACACTAAATTACTAGTTTTCTGATTTTGATTTGCTGTGATTGTCATGCAAAACGATGCATACGTTGTGTTGCGTTGCCTGCACTTGTCATGTGTTCATTCGAAAAAGGACAAACTGTATAAAATTAGTCAGAGGAGCTTTGGAGTTTCTTATTTTTACATTTTTTTTCTACGAATCCAGATCATAACAGTGATATAGAGTGCATGCATCACGAACCATTTATAAATATTTTTATTAAATTCAATTATAATATAGGGTAGATTACACGTTTAGTAATCCAACTCACTTTTGTTCCATTTTGGTCACTCAATTAATTTTTTAAATCATATCTAACATTATGTTTTGGTTTCATTTTGATCGTTTATCGTTAAAAAATTAACAGAATTACAGACGTGACCTTTTTTCAATGATGATGTGATATTTTCTTATGGTGATACATTAACATTAACATTAATCTTTTAACGGCATCCGACAAAAATGAAAGGTTATGTATGATTTTTAAAAAATAGTTAAATGACTAAAACAAAACAAAAGTGATAGTTGGGTACTAAACGTGTAGTTTACCCTATAATATATTATCACTATAAAAAAGTAATCGATGAATATGAAGGGAAAAAATTAAAAATGTTTTTTTAAACGTCGCTTTATTCAAAAAATAAATAATATTTATATAAAAAAATATTAATTGCACGTGAGGTAGCTATTGTCGTCTCTGCTTTTGGTCACAGGTATTAATACTACTAGGTAAAAGTACCTATGAGGTATACGTATAACAAACTTATTATAAAAATATTATATTAAAATATTATATACGTAATTATGATGTCTTTAGATATTATTAGGGACGATCATCGGTAGAGTTTGGACGATTTTTATCTATCTAAATTCGATTCGAGAAGCAACTCTTCTACTTGCGTATGACTTGATTCGTATTGAAGGGGATTATACATGATCCAAATCTGATATGATTATTAGGTAAAAATTTGTACCTGACCTGACATATATAATTATTTTCATTAGATAAAATGAAGATTTAATTAAAAATAATATAAAAATGAATATTATTATAAGTACCCATAAATATATAAGGAATAATTATAACATTTATTAAAGTTAAGTCAGATCAAGTAAGATATTATTCGCTTGAATCAAATGTCTATCCCTAACTATCACAATATAATTATATGAAAATATAATTAATGTCTTATTAACTACAAATTATTATAATTATAAAAAAAATCTATTTATCCATATATGTTTTAGGAGAGTGGTTATATATCCTATTTTTATAGTATAAATTGTAATTATATAATTATAAAAGTGTTGAAGAGTGTATTTATATTAGCTTTTTTTCCTTTTCAAATTGAAAATTATAATTAGAGGTATTTAGACCGGGTAAACTTGACCCGAGCCCGATTACCTGAATCGATTTACCAGACCCAATACCTGATATTAACCCGAACATGATGATTAAATTTGATCAGAAACTCAAACCATACCCGACTAGAACTATACTCGATTCAAAATTTAGCTGAATCGATATATTCCCATATCTAATTTAACCCGAACCAAAATAACCCGAACCGAAAGCAACCCAAACTGAATTTAACCCGATCCGAAAGTAACCCGAACCGAAAGCAATCCAAACAACTAAAATTTACTTATGTTACATAATAAGAGGAATAAAAGTATGATTGAAAACATTAACAAATAAAGTTTACTTATGTTACTTATAATAAAAATATTATAATTATAATAAAACTAATAGAAAACAACTAAAACAAAGGAAATAATATTAAATGTATAATAAAAATAATAAAAAGTTTACTTATGTTACAATTAAAACATAACAAATAAAGATGTAAAGTTATGTATTTTTTTAAATTTAATAAACATATTAAATTGATAATTGAAAATAAAATTTTATTTCTTTATCAAATAGTTGTCATTATAATTTTTTTTGTACAATATCAATATAAAATTTTGGTAACAAGCTCTAACACGCATTATAAAATTGTATTTATGTCAAATTATCAATTTATCGTCTCTAAATGGTGGTTTAATTTCAAAATATTGAATAAATGATAATTGAAATTAAGTCTAATAAGGACCCAAAAAAATATACAAGTACCAAAAAATATATATCGGGTATTGAGTATGATAAAAATGAGTATTATAATAAGTACCAAAAAAATATATAAGGAATAATTATAACATTTATTAAAGTTAAGTCAGATATTATCGGGCTTGAATCTATCCCTAACTGTCACTATATAATTATATGAAAATATAATTAATGTCTTATTAACTACAAATTACTATAATTATAAAAGATTATATTTATCCATATATGTTTTAGGAGAGTGGCTATATATCTTAAAAAATTATAGTATAAGTTGTAATTATATGCGTTTAAATTTTAAAACAATATAATTATAAAATTGTTGAAGAGTATATTTATATTAGTTTTTTTCCTTTTCAAATTGAAAAGTATAATTAGAGGTCTTTAGACCTGACAAATTGACCTGAACCCGAATATCTGAACCGATTTATCAGACTCAATACCTGATATTAATCCGAACATGATGATTAAATTTGATTTGAAACTCGAACCATACCTGATCAGAAATACCCGATTCAAAATTTAACTGAACCAATATGGACTCATATCTAATTTGACCCGGACCAACAGTGACCTGAACCGAAAACAATCCGAACTGAAAAATAAACCAAATTGAAAGCAACCCGAACTAAATTTAACCATATCCGAAAGTAACCGAACCGAAAGCAATCCAACAACTAAAGTTTACTTATGTTAAATAATAAGAGGAATAAAAGTAAGATTGAAAACATTAACAAATAAAGTTTACTTATGTTACTTATTATAAAAATATTATAATTATAATAAAAATAATAGGAAACAACTAAAACAAAGGAAATAATATTAGATTTATAATAAAATTAATAGAAAATTTACTTATGTTACAATTAAAACATAACAAATAAAGACGTAAAGTTATGTATTATTTTTAAAAAATTAATAAACATATTAAATTTATAATTGAAAATAAAAATTTATTTCTTTATCAAATAATTGTTATTATAAATTTTCCGTACAAGGTCAATATAAAATTTTGGTAACAAGCTCTAACATACATTATAAAATCGTGTTTATGTCAAATTATCAATTTATTATCTCAAAATGATGGTTTATTCAAAATATTGAACAAATGAGAATTGAAATTAAGTTTAATCGTCTAAATGATAAGATTGACAAATAAGAAGACATATTTGTTTATAAAAATATATTAATAATTCTATATATGTTTAATTAGACCCATAGCCAATTCAACCTGAATTAACTTGATGTACAGTTTGACTTAAACCGAAAATCATCGGATCCGATATTGACCAGACTCAATATTGAACTGGATCGAAATCTAACCAATCTGGTATTAACCCGACCCAAAAATCAACGATCTGATATTGATCTAAACCAAAAAATAACCAATCGATAATCACCTGACCCGAAAATTGACCTACCCAAAAATTGATTCGACCTAATTTACCATACACCAACTAAATCCGAACTAGCATAGCTAAAATTAAACCAAATATAATCAACCATAATCCAATCTGAATAACCCGTTTACCACCCTAGAGGCGTTTAATCATATTCAATTCAATAGCAAAACGTGCCCTTTACTGGTATGATTGATATATATTTTTTACAATCAAATTTTAAATATCATAATTATTATTGTTACACATGTAAAATTTTAAAATTATTTGATACGTAGGCAGGGACGAATAGCTTTGTCCTGCAGGCCACGAATTTCTTTTTCTTTTTTTTTATAATTTAAAAATATTTATGGGTAAATGTTAAATTAAACCTTGTAATTTTAATTTATTTTGATTTTTATCTCTATTTTTATGGTTAATTATACTTTTCTCTCTCATCTTTTATGGTTAATTATACTTTACTCTATTGAACTGGTATCATAGCTCCGTCCATGTACATAGGTGTGAAATAGTTATTATGTAATCCACATATTATATAGAATTTATTTTTTACAATAGATTTATTTTAATTACATATTTTAATATAAATCTTTATTCTTAAACTCTAAATCATAAACCTTAAAATTCTAAAATTTAAATAGATACACAAATCAACTATCTAACTAAAACAGTTCCTGAGGTAAGAAAGAACCCTTCACCATCACTGTTAATATCTCAAATTATTATCTAAATTTTAATAATAAAAATTATACTGTTAAAATAATATTTAGTCTAACTAAAGTGATAAAAGATAAATAAAGAATTATTTCATATTGCGAGAAGAAGAAAAATAAGATTGCAGACAATAGAAAAAAAAATTAGAATACAAATTTTGTATTATATATTGTAATTA